CGTTTATAACATTCAAGATTTACAATAATATGGATGTTCCGTTGATTGGAATTCTTGTAGACCATAATTTTCGTTTGGTTTTGCTGAGAGAGGGTGAAAGTTAAGGGAGAAAGTTTCTCAAAAATTAAAGAGAAACAATATTCGTTTAACCTTTTAACAGTAAAATATACTCTTAGACAGAATTCAAAATGATATTGTCTTCAATAGAAACAGAATTCTCCCTATTCTTCTGTTCTTCTAAAAACGAATCGATTCGACAGAAAATATAATTTTGACATAAAGAGAAAGTATAGCTATTTCGGAGAAAATAGTTCTAATATAAAGAAAGAATATTTCGAATATAAAGAGAAAAATAGTTATGACCCAAAGAGAATATTTCAGAGAAAACAGGTCAAATATTAAGAGAAAAACAGTCCAGACTCAAAGAAAATTTATTCTGATACGAAAGGAAAGGATCATTAGTAGCAATTGCTTCAAATGTTAAAAGAATAATTCATATTTAATCACTAAATTATTCGGTCGGAAAAGCCAAGCAATTTGTACCTTTTGGAACACTTATTCGAGTGTTAAGCAATAGCATTCCGCTGAGTACTCGTGACAAAAATTTCCAGAGAGAAAGCAATAACAATAACAAAGAATTAGCGGAGGAAAATCTCCCAGCTTCCCCCTCTAATTCAACGCTATGTTCTAGACCTTCACTAATTGTGATTATTTCACGATTCAATTACTCTAAAACTCTAAATATTTCAAAACACCGATAATTCTAAAATGTTGATTATTCCATTTATTCTAAAACTCTAATTATTCTAAAATTCCAGGATTTCGATCATTTCCAGTTACTGAATTATATGCAACCGTTGCTATTTAAATTCCCGTATGACAAAAAAAAGGTAAACTCAAAATTCTAAGAAAATTCTAGAATCTTGGAATAGGCACACATCTTTAGTAATTACATGAAGTATGTTATTCTCTGAAGAAAAACTAAACAACATATTAAAATAAAAATAGAATAGAAAATAAAGAGACGCAAATTAGTATTAGAAAGAATAAGAAAATAGACGACATAGAAGGAGTACTTATGTCGAGAGAAAGAAAAAGAAAGATAGTCACTTGTTTAATTTTTTTATTTTCTATTAGCTGTATCATAAACATTCAGCATGCCCATCGCATTGGTCGCGCGTGAGCAGAAAAAACTTGTTGTCGAAGAACTTCCTGTAAGTTAAAGTATTTTTTCTGTTGAATGAATAGAAAATTATTTGTTTGATATTTATCTAGTTGCCTAAATATGGATCGAAAGAACTCCTAATTAAAGTTACTCATGTTGCACAGAATCCAACAGATTGGAAACATGTTCACTTTGGTCTTGCCAAACCTGGATCTATTGTTGGTTGTGATTTTAGTGGTATAGTTGTCAAAGTAGGCAAAGAAGCTGTTGGTATGTATATAAATATACTTTCTTATTATTATCCAAATATTTCGTCGACAGACTTCTAGAGAATCAGACATTTGAAGAAAAATACCTTAGAATTTGTTTCATTGATTAGAATTAGATTTACTACTAATTGCATGCAGACTCAAAATATTTTAATTAAAGAATCAAGATTTTTCTTGCCACTTGAAATATTGTACGATGATAATAGATTGTGTTAAATTCTATAGATTTCTTCTCCTTCTAAGAGACTACTTGAAATGAACGTTGAAGATTTATAATAAGAAGAATTAAATGCGTTTCTCTCTTCTATCCTGTTTATACTCTATTACGTGTCAGTGAGGAGTGACACTTTCTATATCCTTTTCGAAAGAAAGTTGTAAGGGCAGATGCATGTCAAATATGAAAAAATAATTTGTGCGTAGATTATTAATTTATATAATTAATTTCTGAAAATCAGTGCTTTATGTTCTTCAACCATTTTTCTTTTATTTTCACGTGATATGCTTTGTCTCATTTCCGTAGTGCTTGTATCAGGCTATTTTTCATCTTCTAGTCTTCTCTTGATTTGTCTTACATTACATTCTCTTTCGATTTTTTTCCTCTATATAATTATTTCCTAACTCTGAATTTGTTTCAAATAAATCTGAATGAATAAGAAATATAATCTTATTATATATTCTTGATAGGAAAACCTGATCAACGATGTTTTCTATATGTCATCATTATGAACAGTTTATCACGAAAATAGAACTTAATTATATGCTTGTAAGATTTCTTTTCTTTTTGATTCAAATCAAGGCTTGTGAATGTCGGATATATGTAGAAACGGTTCTTTTTTTGATCGATTCCCGGACAAAAATTGATGAACAATTAAAATATGCTAAGGCACTCATCTAAATCTTAAATTCGATAACACTACAACAAGACAGATTATATTTCACAAAAATTTGATCTTTTCGCAAAATTAAATTTGTTGTCATTTCCACTTAGACAAGTGTGCATCTATTGGTATCAAAAATCGATCTGATACTATCCTGACAGTTAGCCATGACAAAAGTTCAATGAAAAAAATAAAAAATTGTACTTTCATATTTGTTACGGCTGAATCCAACGGAAATAACAGGAATACAGTGCGGATTAAAATTCTTGCCGCACTTTTTTGTTTTTAGTCGTGTATTAAAACTGCACAAGATTAATTTAATCCTGTTATATGCTTGGATAGCAGAGATCGAGTACCATATATAAACACCTGTTCGATTCGAAAAATTCTTGAATATGAAATACAATAAGATGAAGAAAATTCAGTATTAGGAAAAAAATGATACAAAAAAACTACAAAATTAAAATTAAAATGTTTGGAAGGTTTTTCGTTGTGCAATGGGAATTTCTTAATACAACTTTCGCAGAGCTTTCAATGGCGCATCTCTTGAAAAAAAAGCAAGATGCTATCGTTTTCGTAAGCCGAGATACATGCAAAATATAACAATCTTCCAAACATTTTTAATATGTTAAATACGGTGGGAAGTAGCACTATGATGCATATTCTTTTCATTTTGAGTATGGAAGAAACTATCAGAAGAAGTCAATAGGGTTTGTTCTTACAGTTTTTGTAGAGTTTTTCACGCCGTATCTTTTAAAATAAAAACCAAGATTTTTTCATTTGTCTGTGCAGATATTCGCAAAACAAACTATGTTGCAAAGGGGTGTGGGTATGGGTGTGCGTGTGGGTGTAGTGTTCTCTACAAACATGCACAGCCACAGACACACCTCCACTCACATCCACACCCACACCCACATCGCATCCACAACCCACACTCACTCACACCCACACCCACACCCACACCCTCATCCACCCGCATCCACACCCACGTCCCACACCCACACCCACCAATACCCCACACTCGCACCCAAACTTTTGACCCGCACTGTAGTTTAAAATCTATCGAAAAATCTCTAAAGTAAAATTTCATAAGATTAATATTTTAATTAGAGTATGTTGGAAACAAATTGTTGTTCTGTAAAAAAAATTCAATTAGTTTGTTTTAATAATTATATTAAATTTGATTAATTGTTAAAACACATGTTTCTATTATATCTACTATTTTTCTTTGTAGGTAATTATAAAAAAGGGGAACGTGTAGCTGGTTGTGTTCATGGTGGTCTCGATCGTGAATTTGGTATCCGTGGAGCTTTTTCCGAATATGTTGTGCAAGAAGCATCACTTGTTTTTCGTTATCCTTCGACAATGTCACCTGAAACCGTTGTTACACTTCCACTTGCCAGTATCACAGCAGCTCTCGGTATATTTCACGAAATGGGTCTACCTTTACCACCTGCAAAAATCGAAGCCAATTTTCTCGTTTGGTCAGGCAGCACAAGTGTCGGACAGTGTGCTATTCAATTAGCTAAATCAATTGGTTGCTTCGTTATCACTACAGCATCATCCGCTCGTCATGATTATTTGAAAGGACTTGGTGCTGATGTTTGTTTTGACTACAAAGATCCATATGTTGTGTCGAAAATAAAACAAGCAGCGAAAGGTCATTTGGCTTACGCTTTTGATTGTATATCAGAAATGGAAGCAACTAGACAAGTCTGTGCTGCACTCACTGACAGTAGTTCGCAATTATGCACCGTTCTACCTTTTATAACAAGTGAAATACCACCTCATGTCAAAGAACACAGAGTTTTAATGTATACGATATTTGGAAACGAAAGAAATCTCTTTGGTCAACTTTATAAGGCCAAACCAGAAGATAAAGAATTTGCTGAAAAATTTTATAAATTAGTTTCAAATTTTCTGTTACCTGAAGGACTTCTGAAACCGAATAGAGTGACGAAGATATCAGGCGGATTGAATGGAGTCGAACAAGGATTTAAACGAATGATGGAAAATAAGGTGGTAGCCGAAAAATTGGTCTATACACTAGCTGAAACTACTGGCTGGAATAACTATCATTGGATTTGCTGCCGTAAAATATGTTCATAAGACACATCTTACTAATATCTAAAGTTAACAGAAACTAACTATCGATCATTGTACATTGAATTAAATAAATATCTCATACGCCTCTACTGATGTAACGAATAAAAAAGCATGTTCAAAAAAAACAATGAATTCCTTTCAATATGAATTAATAATATCTTTTCTTAAAAATATACTCTCCTAGAATACATGATGTTTCAAAAATTTTGTACTTATAATTAACCCATTGGGCCCGATGGGGTCCACCGGTAGACCCCACTATATTTTAACAAGAAACTTAATAGAAAAACGCTTTCTTTTCTTTTATTCTTAGGCGAAAGGTTACACATAATGTGCGATCTGCTTTGCCTTCGCTATTTTCAAAATCATTTGTTACAATCAGAACAGAAAGTTTTTATTCTCTTTGTTGTTGAATGACACGCTTCTCTTGATTGTTGTTCCCTGTTTTTCTCGTAACAACCAACACA